ATTTAGAGTGTCTGTAATGAGCCGATTTCGTGTATGAATATAGAAGCCCTATGACTACAACTACCATCATTTGAATTGTCATAAAAGTATGAAATTATCGTACATTATGGGATTTTTTTCATTATTGATCGTACATCGTACAGAGGTCAAAATTATCGTACAAATACGATAATTATCGTACGTCTGGCAACACTGTTCAGTAGTCGTAAACCTTTAGCAACGTGTTAGCAATTTTTACATGAGCCTATAGCATAAATTTTGTTCTGTGATTGTTTTTTTCATGTTTTGTTCTATACCTCAACATTCTGAATCTGTTGTGCACTTTAAAACTATTAGTTGACTTTAGCATTGTAGTCCTTAGGCTATGTAGCAGCTTGTTGAGGTGTTGTCAATAACAAAATTTCACAGGCAAAAAGGTTCGTTTATTGATAGCAATGAGTAAAGCACACCTCACAAGTCACTTACATTCTACATCCCTGCACATACTGAGTGTTTTGAGAGCTGTCGCTGCATTGAGGTGCCGGTGTGTCACTCATTGTGTTTATTTCTCGAAGCTCTCATGGTTTCGGTGTCATGACACCTGTTTAGCTGCGTGTCTGTGTGTGTTTACGATAGGGCTGATGTGCTGACACGTTTTGATCGGGCTGGATATCCAGATAGCCTATAAAGAGAGGAGAACGATTGTTCAGCCAAGAGGACAAGGTAAGAATAGGACAGGCAGGTTATAAATATTCAAGGCAGATTCATATTTGCAGTTTTCAAAGTACAGATGAAACGGCATAGCAGTGGCAAATATTAGAACAGACAGAAAATAATCTATTTATATCCATGAAAGAAAATAGTGAACAAGTCAGACTATGATACAATGTGCAAAGAATAACAAATGACATTTTAATGAGCGCTCATGTCCCAAAATGAGATCATATTTTATAGCTGTAAAACAGACATTCACTTTATTCTTTTCCATTGTCTCATAAACACTCTCACACATTGGCAGCTGTAACTTGATTGGTCTGTTTGCTCTTTTCTCCATCATCATTTATGCAG